GTTTGTAAATAAAACTTGGTGTGCTGCTCAGAAATTAATTGAAATTTTTAAAACTACTTGTTCAATCTTCAAATCATTGTGTCACTTGTGCAAGTGATTACATATAATTCTCCTGTTTCTGAATCGGTGCAGTTTTGCTGTTTGTATGAATTGTTTTGAGAAATGCCATTACAAATGTCGCAAATGCATCTGAGACCAACCAAAGCATCTGATGAAACCTGTATTGTGTTTAATTTCTATAAATTAGAAATGTTCAGCTCTGCTTTGCTTCAGCTTTTTCTATTATCTAAATCTGAAGTTACATCCTGGTTTTAACCTGCAGTATGAGGGGAGGGTCTATGCAAACTCTTCTTCTCTTAAAAGCAAACCACCAGCAGGTTATCATACAGAATATAGCTGAGCATAACAAACAATTTAACTTATTAATAACACCAATCAGCTCTAAGCAGGTTTTTGCTCTAGGATGGAAAAAACAGCAATCTGGAGTTTTCTTTTTGTTGTTTTGATTCACAGTGAGGTTTTCAGTCCATTATTCTGATATTTATCAAATTATTTACAGCTCTGCCAGCTAATGATGCTACTTTTTTCTTACAGGAGTCTGGAGTCAGATCAAACTGGAGCAGTCAACCTCTGAGGTGAAGAGACCTGGAGAGACAGTGAAGATGTCTTGTGTCATTTCTGGTTACAGCATGACAAGCTATAATATCCACTGGATAAGACAGAGACCAGGGAGAGGACTGGAGTGGATTGGCTATATGTACACTGGAAACAATCGCCCCACCTATGGCAGCTCCTTCCAAAGTCGTTTCATCATGACTGAAAATGTCCCCAGCAGCACCCAGTACCTGCAGATCAGCAGCCTGACAGCAGAAGATTCTGCTGTTTACTTCTGCGCTCGGCAGACACAGTGACTGAAAGCAGAGGAACAGCTGCACAAAAACCTCGACAGCAAACAACAACAATGTGAAGCCTGGACCAGACACTTGGTTTTATGGCAAATAAATACTGAGAGAATATATTGATGAATGTCGTGTTTTTACATTTTGTTTTAGTTTTTATGATGAATACTAGTTAAAACATTTAACTCTAGATTAGATCAGAAATAGTTTTAAGTAAAGTGAAAATACAAAAACAAATTGAAATGAATGTTAATAATATGTCACATTATCCTATACATGTATGTTTTGTTGATTCGGACAAGTAAACTGAAAGAAGGCATGTCTTTGAGAGAGGTAACTGGTGAAAACTGTTGTAAAATTGAAAACTGTATCTTTGCCAATTAGATGTTCATCCTTTCAGTTCATGAAATACCTTTCACATCTCACTATTTCACAGTAAGAGTGAAGAGGCAGCTCAGTAAAGACAGGCCTCCACCAGGCATAAAATATCTGGACAGATACATTTTTTTAATTTTCTTCTTCACCTTTGATAACTTATTGCCACTTGGAAGGCTGTAGTAAAATCAGATTATATTATTTCTCAGTCTTAAGGAGGTTTTTCAGCCACAAGCAGAGTCTGAAGGTGGCATCATTTACTTAAACAAGAAAATTTTCGAACATGATAGAAGGACAGATTAGATTGAGGGAGATGAGGCTAGAATTTCAGCAAGCTGTTTTTTTTAAAAAAAAGAAAAACAAATTTTTCATGTTAATTAAACAAGCAAATTTGAAAAAAAAGGAGCAAAATTTAAGTAAAATCTTAATTGTGTTGGGTGTTTGTGTTTTATCTTCACTGACACTGATATAGGTTTTTGCAATAGAGTCTGTCACAGTGATTGGGCCGCAATGGTTACACACCCATAAAAAAACCTCAACACAAATATATGGGAAAAAGCTATTGGAAAATTCTATTATTATTATTTATGTACAATAAATAAGTATATATTTTCTGTGAAAATATTAAAGTAAGATGTTTGGTTAATAATGTTTCACATGTACAGAAATGACTGTGGATAGTCTGAGCTCCTGCTTGTGTTTTCTGACCACACAGTGAACATAATCTTTTCACATCTGTTGACTTCAGTCACATCAGCTCCAATCTATAAATCAAATATTGTGTATTGTTCTCATTAAAAAGAGCCACATCTTTCATTATTTGTTTTTGCTTTCTTCACAGGTTTGTGGTAGTACAGTTTTTCAGAGTAAAATTATAATCTTGAAGACTGGTTTCATTGTCTTTTTTTAAAAGTTTCTTGACATCTTTGAAAAAAAATGATGCAATTAAAAAGGCTTTGAAACTAAACTTGATAAAAAACATATTTAATGAAACGTTTCTGAACTAGTCTATGACCAGTCCAGGTCCAGGTCCCTTTTCAATGGGCCTTGACCTGATTGTTATGATGCCTGATGAAAATATGTAATAAGTAAACATCTAAAAATTAATTGTTTGTGTTCACAGTCGAAGCTGTTAAGGGTTCACTGTTATTTTTGTTTCATAATGGAAGCTGAAAGCCTCATTGTATTGTTTAGCTTTTCCCTCAATTAAAATTAAAACCATGTTTCTATCCAGAGGAATAAAGCAAACAAATATTCTCAGTTTTTATTGCACTAGTTATGAAATCTTCTAATGACACATCAAACATATGACAACGATGTGGCAGCAGAAAACCGAGTCAAGTTAAACAAAAGAAATTTCATTTTTGGCTGAAAAAAATCCTGATACAGTAAAGCAAATTAGTAAGGCAAATTAAAATGCAGAGATATTCCGAAGCAATTCAGAAAATCACATCTTGAAATCCGCTGAATTATTTTTTTTTTTACATATTTTTCAAACATAGCATTACATAAATCATTTAATGACATTAGATGCAGTGGTGTGGTTGTTCTTTTCTGTAATAGATGGATAGTTTTGATTATCCTCTTCTTTTTAAAGATTAGATGCAGGACAGGCCAATGAACACCGATATGATTGGCTACTCTGTCATTATGCAAATGAAGCATTTTACTCAATAGGCCTGATCTCATGATATCAGTCAAAGACAAACAGAAACGTTCACCAGATCACCTTCGATTCCAACATGTTGTCTGTAGCTCTGCTGCTGCTTTTGGCTGCTGGATCCAGTGAGTCTCAGTGAGACAAACATTTACAGCAAATGATCACATCACACTGATGGTTAACAGCTCAATATGAAATGTTTCCTCCACAGGTGTGAAGTGTGAGCAGCTGACCCAGCCAGCCTCTGCGACTGTGCAGCCAGGTCAGCGTCTGACCATCAGCTGTCAGGTCTCTTATGATCTGGGCATCTATTTCACTCACTGGATCAGACAACCTGCTGGGAAAGGACTGGAGTGGATTGGTTACACATGCCAAGGATGCGATCCAGTCTACAAAGATTCTTTAACAAACAAGTTCAGTTTTACAGTGGATTCTTCCAGCTTGTCTGTGACCCTGAA